CAAAACAAAGTGCAATCCGGATGGCTCTATTCAAAAGAAAAAAGCAAGACTTGTGGCAAAAGGGTATTCACAACAACCTGGAATTGATTTCCAAGAAACTTTTGCTCCTGTGGCTCGACTTGATACAATTAGAGCTATCATTGCTTTGGCGGCTCAAAAGGGTTGGTTCTTGCACCAACTTGATGTAAAGTCAGCATTTTTGAATGGGAAATTAGAAGAAGAAGTGTATGTTGATCAACCTCAAGGCTTTGTTGTCAAAGGCAAAGAAGATAAAGTGTACAAGTTGAAGAAGGCTTTATATGGCCTAAAGCAAGCACCCCGAGCATGGTATAGTGAAATTGATGCTTACTTCAATGAAAAAGGTTTTCAAAGAAGCAAAAGTGAGCCAACTTTGTACATCAAGAGGCAAGGTACAACCGGTATTCTCATTGTTTCACTTTATGTTGATGATTTGGTTTTTACCGGTAGTGATGAAAACTTGATTAGAGATTTTAAAAGGGAGATGATGAAGAAATATGAAATGAGTGATTTGGGGCTATTGCATCATTTTTTAGGCATTGAAATCCACCAAAACAATGGTGGTGTTTTTATTTGCCAAAAGAAGTATGCTCAAACACTTCTTGAGAAATTTAAAATGAAGAATTGCAAAGCAGTTGCTACTCCCTTGATTGTGAATGAAAAGTTGTCAAAGGAAGATGGAAGCAAAGAAGCTGAAGCATCTTGTTATAGAAGTTTGGTTGGAAGTTTGTTGTACTTAACTGCTACAAGACCGGACATCATGTATGCTACAAGTTTATTGTCTCGGTTCATGCACAGTCCAAGCCAAATTCATTTTAGGGTTGCAAAAAGAGTGTTGAGATACATTCAAGGTACACTTGATTATGGAATTTTTTATGAGAAATTTCTTGATGCAAAGTTAATTGGATTTTGTGATAGTGATTGGGCCGGATGTGTTGATGATATGAGAAGCACTTCTGGGTATGCATTTTCTCGTGGATCGGGTGTAATTTCATGGTTATCCAAGAAACAACAAACTGTGGCACAATCATCTGCTGAAGCCGAATATATTTCAGCATCATTGGCAACTACACAAGCAATTTGGCTAAGAAGAATTTTAGATGATTTTGGTGAGAAACAAGGTGAAGCTACTCCAATTATGTGTGATAATAAGTCTGCTATTGCTATGGCAAATAATCCCGTCTTCCATTCTCGTACCAAACACATTGCTATCAAACATCATTTTATTAGAGAAGCTGTGGAAGATGATGAGATTCAAATCAAGTATTGCAAGCCTGAAGATCAAGTTGCGGACATCTTCACCAAAGCTCTACCAAGGGACAAATTTGAATTTTTTAGAGAAATGTTGGGTGTCACTCAATATGGCATTAAAGGGGAGTGTTAAAATTAATGCCATATTTACATTAGGTACATTGGATACATTGCATGCTTTGGATACATTGAGTTCATACATTCTTTGTATTCATGTATTTTTATATTTACGTATTTTATATTTATTAAGTACATTGTCTAGATTATATTCATATACCTAATTAATTACAAGGTTATTTAGGTTCATGGATCTTATTCATTGAACTTATGTATAACATTCTCTATATAAAATGATGTAAGCCTATGGACAATATATATGAATCAATAAGTGATAAAAATTCAATACAAAATATAATTCATTCTAAAAAGAGTTTTATTAAAAGCTAACAGTATCCGCAAGAAATTTCCAGTAAATCCCCATCTATTAAACAGAAGAAGTTGCTGATGAAAGTTAAAGCGCAAGCTTGCAGAATGTTTTGGACTCATTCCTTCTAGTAACCAGCCACTACTTCTGCTCCATCATACGGCATAGTCTTTATTAATCCTTACGAGATACAAAACCAGTATTGCATATAAGAAGGAATATAAATCTCTATTTACCACCTCAAGAGCCACCAAGAGATCTAAAAATGCTTTCAAGTACTTTGTTATATGACGAAGTATATCACTGAACAGTATAATTAATATACTGTCATACTTGGCGTACATAACTTAAATCAACATTGACTTTTTTGTTGGTTTTTTTCATATTTAGTTCCTTTTTTTAAAAAATAAAAATCAAAAAAACTTTAAACTTTTAGGTTCTACCAGACTAGATGGACCAGAAAAGTATCTTAAAAAAACAAGCTGTATTTTTTTTTGTCTTTAGTGAACTTTTTATTTCCTTTTACACTAATCAATGGATGAAAAAATTTTATGATACATTTCATGATATTTTTTTCATGATTCCTATCATTACTCAAAAATCACTGAAGACAATAAGCTAAAAAAAAAAAAATGTGACTTTTTTAGTTTTATCCCAAACTCATAACTATACAAAGAATACAGACAAAGAAAAAAATTTAATATGTTGGACTGCTGTGATTCGAATGGCACAGGGAAGATCCTTTATTTTTCCGCCGAAGTCACTATCACACAATGCCCTTGGCATGTTCTATTAATTTAATAACAATGAACAACTAACCGTGCCCGTGCACTAAAAGCTAGCACAAAACAGAATCAAATACTCTTTTGTCCTCTAATATAGTATTATTCATTTTTAATGTATAGTGGGAGGAAGCTGGGGTAGAGGCTCCTAAACTCGAGGAGCCAACCACGCATGTCCTTTTGGAAGAATCTCCAATTATAATTCCATTCAAAATGGAATGAGAGATGGGAAGTGGGTTGAAGGTCTGGCACTTTCATGCCCATCATTTGCTTCATTTGACTTATTTGAATTAAAAGAAATGAATAGTTATTTTGTGACAAAGAGGAGTGGTAGGGCCCTCCAGAAGGTGGTGGATTTGGTTTGACTTGACTTTTTGTTTCATAGCCATGGGATTTCCAGGGAGGTAAAAAAAATGCAAAGCATATTCATACTTCAAGTGATTGTGGTATTAAGCAGCAAAACATTTCAATTGGTCCCCCTATATGCAGAATGGTACTCTGTATCACAAACGATCTAGAAAGAATTAAAACGAGAATGGATCAAATCATCATGAATTCAACTAAACCACTAACTTCAAACCTGATTAACATCATTTTCCAATTTGGTATGTATAGTCTTCAATTTCGTATCGGATACAATGATGAACAATGGGTTTGGGATGCATAAAAGGAACATCATTCGTGACGTGACATGACTGGCTGTGAGTGGTTCAACAAAAGGACCTGAAAAGGCCAACACCAGAATGGAGTCAAACCCATATTAATATTAAATAAGAAAGAAAAAAAACTCCCAAGGATCACAGGGGTCAAAATGTTGGCTCATGACCACTGTTATTTGGTCAAATTTCGGCTGTTTACGTAAACCATCCTTATTCCTTTTCCATAGTGGTAGTTGTTTTGGTAATTAGAAAGATTTTCCTGGAAGTGCACATGTGCACTATCAATTGCCTGTTCTGCTTTTAATTTCAAGCATAATATTATTTAATGCTAGCGCACATACCTTAGATTTACAACAAATACAAACACAAACTGTCAAACTCAAACACTATCACCAAAGAAGTTAGAATTTTAAACCACACATTATGATGATTTTCAACTAACACCTGCAATATTGAGTTGTCAATATCACTTTAGGAACATAATTAAATGAATAAGATGTCCAGCAACAAAATGAATGAATACCTTACATGTTTTTCATATTTCTAAATCCTTCGGAAAAAAAAATAAAAAATAAAAAATAAAAAAAAATAAATAAAATTTGAACAAACAGTATCGTCATGATATAAAAATGTGATTTAGAATCTGATTTTTATTAGTACTCAATCATGATGTTTATTTTCTAAAGCACCCTTAGATTTGAGGAATAGGCTAAACACTCAGAAAGTCTGGCAAATTCTGGCACAAGGTAGTTTTTGGTGGATGAAATAAATGAAACAAATGCTTGAAACAGGAACGAAATAAAAAATAAAAAAAAAAGTGCCATTTCAAGCACCTAAGGTGTGTTTTGGGATGCTATATGATTTAGCCAATATAAGGTGGGTTATGGTTAAGAATAGTTAGCAACATACTCCATCATAATTCATATGGTGATGTAACAACGGACTAGCAATATCAATCAAAGGTAGATAAGTAGCTAAGTTATTGTGTGACATACTTAGCTAAGTCAAGAATAGTTAGCAACATACTCCATCATAATTCATATGGTGATGTAACAACGGACTAGCAATATCAATCAAAGGTAGATAAGTAGCTAAGTTATGATAATTCTGTGGAATCTTAACCGTACAGCAGCTAAGCAGCCATGTGAATCACTAAAAAGCTTGCACATACCATAAATAAACTAAAGAAAACTCCAAACAACAACTTAAGGACAGATGTGTTTCACCTGAATTTGTCAATTGAAAGAGTCCAAGCACATGAACCACCCACATAAAAAATACAAATTGTTAAGTGGGAAGAACAGTAGAATCTGTCTTTTGGTATATTTCTGTGGTGGTAAGGCCACATCTTTGTTATTCTATATTAACAATCTGATCTCTTTAATCTGATTTGTCAGGAACAATTGATTTAAAGATTACCGCCCTTACAACATTCAAACAACAAAGTGCCATTTCAGCACAATAAGAGGTCATTATACAGTCAAAGGATCAAGCTTCAATCAGTGACGGTGTTTCAGAAATATATTGATCAATTTTTTATCAGCAAAATATATCGACTTATTGCGTGATGAGTTCTTTCGGTTAATTTTATATTATGCACGAGTTTTATATTTTAAAATGGGCAAAAGGAGAGAAAAAGAAGGTAACGAACAATAGCAAGAGACTTGCAACATATTGAGAAAGATCAACAAGAAAACCACTCTATGCATAAAGTTCTCCTGTAAGAGGACCCCCAAAAAGATTGAAACATGAACCATCCAAATTTACAAAAAAAAAGTGGGCACCTTAATTTTATGGCTGGCTCCGTAAGACTATAAATACTGAAGGAAATGTGAGGTCGTGATTATAGTGTTCATAACTCTGACTCTCTCTCTCTCTCTCTCTCTCTCTCTCTTGATCCTAGTCGGTCATTCAGGTTCAAACTATAATAGGATCACCCAAACTCTTTCATTCTCTAGTTATGGCCTATAACCAACCCATTTATACCTGTGCTATTCTCCTTGCACTAATTGCATACAATGAAATTCTATTTACTGAGGGAAGACAGCTAAAGGCAATGGGAAAAGATGAGTATAATTCCATGCAAGCTATCAACTTAAACCAAAACCCTGAAGGTGAGGGTCTTGGATATGATCTTCCAGCCCCACATGCAAGTCATGTTCATATAATTGACCATTCTGTCACAAAAAAGAAAGATCCTCCCCAAACCACGACACTTAATCAAAGTCGTGTATTTGGTGATTCAGTTGCAGTATATAAAGATGATTTTAGACCTACAACACCAGGTAACAGCCCTGGTGTTGGTCATTTATTTTCAGGACAGAAAAAGGATGCTCCAACAAACTCAAAAAGCAATGGCACTGGTATCAGTCATTCAGCGGCAGATAACACAGATGACTTCCGACCCACACAACCAGGTCACAGCCCTGGTATTGGGCATTCTTTTCAAAACACAAGTGCAGAGCAAAATCCATAGACATGTAGAGACATACATTGAAGTTTATTGCAAGTTTCAACTTGTCTGTACAGTGAATTCCATCCCTCAGGTCCAACTAGTTGCTGAGTGCATGTATGGTTTCATGTGTTGTTAGGTTTATTTTCTGTACTGTCTTTTAGCAAGACTGATATATCTTGTATGTATGTTGGAGCAACCATGTGTAGTCATTGCAAAAAATAGCTTATTGTATGAAAATAAAAATATTTGTATCTTTCTCTCTTTCTTAAATACGTATGCATGTATTTAACACGTAAACAGAAATGCACAATTATCAACATTCGTGCACACGTGTATATTAGTGCATGCAAGCACATGAAAAACCACACTCCAAGAGTCAATGAAAGCCACACACACAAAAAAAAAAAAATTCATAGAGCAAGATGATTGGCATAATGCTGGAAAAGAATGAACCTAGTTCTGAAAACTAAGGATGTTTATCGATTCAAATCCTATTTCGTTGGGTCTACAATTCCATACATTTTACTTGTCACTAGTTTCAAGTTCAACCATGTGTTTTACAATTTGATATAAGTAAACATGCATGCCACATATACATGCATGTGATAGTGGCCATAGTATTTCAAATTTCATGCATTAGAGCATCTCTAACCATTAGAGCCCTCTAACCCTTCACCAATTTTCTCATCTAATTTGATTTCAAATTTGAGTAAAAAACTTGATTTGATATGAATTACTCCAATCGTTTCATCAAATTTTCGTCAAAATCTTTTTAAAAACTCCTCTCTTATCCCAAATTTTCCTTTTCATCAAATTCAAATTTAATGAAGGATTTCATGAAAAAAATGACCCTAGTTTCAAATCGATTTTGAAAAACCCAAACTTATACATTTGACCAATATCTGGCTTCCAATTAAATTCATTCAAATAGCATAAAAATTATTAAAACATTACTACATTGGTACACTTTTCTGACCTTGTGGAAGAACACCATCTTCTTATTATACTTACACAATTTGGGTTTTAGAACCTAAATTCCATCAAATAGCTTAGCTTGGAGAATTTTTTCCTTCTTTTTTGTTTTATTAGAATGCATCAAACCAATATTATGTGCTACATAGTTGTACACAGACGATGAATTAAACTGACACTCAATGGACAGACCCATTCATTAGATAGAAAAGATCACTAATAATTCAAGATATACTGCCTTATTAACCCGTCCAGCACTCCTTGCACGTATCAATAATTGAAAGGAAACTTCAATATTTTGGTCACGCAGGACTTACACTAAACCGATGCAGCACCAACACATTTTAATACGATCCCTATTCGATGCTTGGAATAGTATGTCTCCCAACTGTCCTTGCCCTATATTTTGAGGACTCATGTCTTGTTGTGTCCGTGTCTACACTACCTAGGATACTCCCATGCCAAGACAAGTAATAAACTTCGTAACTGTGAAAAAAATATATACATATAAACTGTTGAGGAACAATGAATGCCGGAAACAGTACTGAGAGGGTAATTTTTGGGAAAATAGGGCCGAGCTGCGAGTTGGGTTTTGAGGCCCAAAACGCGAAGGACTGAGTAAAAAAGGCCGTAATGGATACTCCGGCCCAGGAGAGCAAGGTCACTCCGGCAAAGTTACTCCGGCCCAAGGAAGAGTAAAACTACTCCGGTCCGGAGGCAACTCGGAGTTAGGCCGGTCTCAGAGTTAGTCCGGTCGCTGTATGTTCTGTGAAGGCCGGTTTCGGAATTAGTCCGGTCGTGACTTACAATAGGTTAGGTCGGTCAGAACTTATTACTTGGAAGTTTGATCTAAGCACATCAAGGTTGAACAGGGAAGCCGAAGTAAGGAGTTAGAGGAGAAGACCGAGCTAAGGATAGTTCGGCCCTCTGTGGCTCGGTATAGCCAATTTTACTTCGGTCAAATGGAAGTTCGGCCATAAAGAAAACCATCCCACTTGGTTTAAGCAGTGGGGGAGGGTGTAAAAGGATAAGCATTATCCTTAGGAGAATGAATCCTAGGAGGACTCTGCATGGAGAAGTACAAATCCTACTAGGATTGTGCCACGGGAAACTTATAAAAGCTCACAAGCATCACCTTGGAGGAGGTAATTGAACACAATACTTTTTGAGAGCATAAATCTTTGTCTATTTGTCAAGCTTACTGACTTAGGCATCGGAGAGGTTTCCGGCACACACCCGCCGGCTAGCTCACGTTTGTGTTTTCAGGTGATAAAGCAACGTCGTACGGAGGAGCGTGGACTTGGTCAACAGGATTATACGAGGAGAATTATTTCCTCCCCGTACAAGTACCATCATTAATCTGAGACCAATCGCAATTGATGTGGCTGATTGCTTTCCCGTCATCTCAAATACCAGACAACACTTCTCATCAATTTCAAAACTACCCTTTTCAAATCACATTCCAAATCCATCTTGAAATAATTGCAGTGATACATCAAGGAATACTAAGGTTGTAACTGGATCAAATTAATGGATTCGACATCATTCATTCACATAGAATAGTAAAAATAGTTATTTGAAATCCTTCCACAAATGATATACCTATACGAGGGTCTTAAAAATTTGCATCTCTCCTAATCTCTATTCAATCTTCCACTTTACAATTATCAACCTACCTCCAATAGTTGATCTTTCAACAATAAAGTTTAACTTCAAATCCACTCAACCAAATGGAGCCTTAGAGCAACTCCAATGCTACTCTTCATTTTTCACTAGCCAAAGTATAAAAAATATATTATTTATTTTACCCAACTAATTTTTTATTTGTGTGATCCAACGCTACTCTTTATTTTACTTATTTATCCACCAAGTTTAAAAGCTTCCAGGCTCTTCAAATGTAACTAACTTTGAACGATTTAGTTAAAATAACTATTGCAATAGTTAACCCCTTAGAGGAAGTAAAATAAGACAATATTAGTTATAATAACCGAGCCCATTGCAGATGCTCTTAGCAGCTGATCCCCCTCATAACAAGTGGGAAAATGGTAAAATAGAAAGAAAGGAAAGGACCCAAAAAACAATCAAACAAACAAAAACAAAAAAACAGCATACCCTAGAATATAATAATATTGTCACAAAAATAAAAATAAATAAAAAAGCAACAATGATAATACTAATAAATTTTAAAAAAATCAGAGAATGATAGAGCATAAAGTGGGAGATTCTGAATGTTTACTTTACTTTCTTTACATTAAACAATTCAGGATTCTGATTTGGAAGAAAAGGAAAATAAATAAATAAATAAAATAATGCATTCCTCAAAGAAAATAGAAAGTGCAAAGTTGAAGAAAAAAATCAATGGAAATCCTAAACCACCAATTACATAATATATAAATAATAAAGAGAGAGAGAGAGAGATTAAAGTATGTGATCATCGTCGTCACCGTAAATCAACCATAAACAATGTGGAACCCTTACTATTAAATACTGAATAATACAATAGAATTACGGGCTTACCTGTTCTTGGTGGTGGTGCCAGTGGCGGCTCCAAGGCTTGGCAGGGGTGTCATCCAACTCTCTGGCTGATTTTTTATTATTATTATTATTATTATTAAATATTAGATTTTAAGAAAAAAATTAGTAATTGAACCCATTAAAATACAACTTTGAACCCATAATTTTAAATCCTATTCTTTTAAACTCACTATTTGATAGTGTTGATAATGAGTTTATTATGCAACGATTTCAAAATATGAAATCTTGTTGTGGTCAATTGTAAAAGCTCGTGTATTAGCATGTCTTTTTGCTTAAATAATAGTATCAATATATTGAAATATTTTTGTTTATAATTTTAGAATTTAAATTAATTTGTTGATTTTTTTCTCCATATGTGATATAATGATTAATGTGAATTTTCCGTAAGATATATGATATTTAAGTTTTTTATTGACACCACTGATAAAAATTCTTGAAATCGTCACTGGGTGGTGCTGTTTCGATCGAAAGTTTGTCCAGACCCCTTTTGCTTTGCGGTAATGTGTAGCAACTTTTTTTAAAACGATGTCCTATTGTAGCGATACCCTTTTACTTAAGACTGGTTTAGAAAATGTTTATTTTAATTAATTTTTTAATTTTTTTTATAAAAAGACATTAAAAATAAATAAAAACAATAATATGACATTTTATAATGATGTTTTATTTTAATAAGTCTTATAAATAATGTAATTATCAAAATACCTCTGATAATAATAGGGTGAAACACATATTAATATTTATATTGACAGTATGAAAGTTTGGGCAAGCGGAGGTGGCATTATTCGTGATAGTTTGGTCAGGTGGGTTGCAAGATTCATGAGAAATATAGGCACAACTTCGGCTTTAGAGGCTGAATTATGAGCTCTTCGAGACGGATTGATGTTAGCGGCAAAACTACACTTATTGGAAATTCATGGTGAATCAGATGCAAAAGAAATAATCAAGTTATTACTACATGAACCATCTAGTCGACACCATTATAGTAATCTCCTCTGTGATTGCAGGTGTCGCATGAAGCAGCTGAGAATCTCGACGGTTGTGCACATTTTTTGGAAAGCCAACAAGTGTGCGGGCATTTTAGCAAATCAAGGCAACTTTGCCATAGATAGTTTTGTTGTTTTTAATTCCGCTCCTTCTTGTCTATCTCAATAGTTACTTGATGATGGTGTAGGGGCTTTATACCCCATGACTATTTCTGTTACTAGTTACTATCTCTATTTCACCAAAAAAAAAAAAATGTTCATATCACCAAATTGCTAATAATTCAAAAAATATTTGTAACAATAAAACTGATCATAAAATATTTTAAATACAAGAATTTAGGCCTCTTTTGGCAACTCAAAAAAAAAAACTTCTTTTTTTGAAATTTTTTTATTTTTAGTATTTTTTTTTAAAAATTGTGCCTTATTTTTTTACCTTTTCAGTCTGTCAAAATTGTGCCTTATTTTTTTACCTTTTCAGTCTGTCTTTTCCAGACGAATCTAAAAATTAATTTTTTTATAAAGAAATTAAAAAAAAAATGAAAAATCCCCATAAGCCCCCCAAAAAAATGCTTATTTTTGTTTTTTCTAAATTTTTTTAAAAACAATTATAATTTTTCGGTTCATCTTGTCAACCAGAATCTAGAAACTTAATTTTTTTTAAAATTTTAAAAAAGTAAGACAAAAATAAGCTAAAAAATAAGCAAATC